CTCTAATGTGTCTAATAACACTGCTTGGTTCTGTCTGAAATAAAACAGAAAGACTAAATGCACATAAGAAATCAAAGAGCAGTTTCTGTGTGAAATGTTAGTGTTTCCTCTTCAGTAAACTCTTAATACATCGACTATTAATGCAAGTTTAGTGGTAAAAATAAGCTTGATAAAAAAAAAAAAAAATCACTATTTTTAGTTAATTATATAATACATCTCTCTAGAGAAAGAATACAAGTACCATATTTACTCAAATATAAGATGACCCCAAATATAAGAATCCCTCAATAATTATATTCCACATACCGAAAAATTATAAACTTGTTACTTTTCCAGGTACAGAATCTATTTATTGGAGGTTTGCCTTGAATTTTTGTCCCCTTCCCACTACTACAGCAGGGAAAATAAATTGGAGGTGGGGTGGGGGGCACGGTGGTACCCTTGCCCTCTGTCCCCGCAACTTCTTCCCCCTGCAGCCCCTTCCTCACCTTGCTGCTAGACCCTACTCTCCCTGAGAACACAGAAGTGAAGAGCAAATTTGAAAAAACTGATTTTAACAGGCCTGTAGTAATTTGCAAATAGACAAATTACTATAGGTACATATACACTTTGTTCATGCCAGAATTGATGTAGTTCACCTTTTTTGAAACTGCTGCAAGTTTTAGCACAGGTACTCCGTAAACTCACTTTTAAGCAGCACTTTCATTCATATATGATGCAAACTTTATTTTTTTCTGAGGCCAAATCAGTTCCAAATTTGGACTGAGCAGAGCTCAATTGTTCAAGTCTGCACAGCATTACCATTGACAAGTATCCTCTCTCCCAGACTCTTCAGTTTGGGGCGTAAGATACTCCCAAATCCATGGCAGGCATCTTATGTGCAAGTCCCAAACCAGGAGGCCTTGGAGTTCACATGCCCCTAACAAAAAGGCTGTAGAAGCAAAATAGAGGGAAAGCCTGAGAACAATCCCCCATCACTGAGAGTACAAACTATTACGCCAAAGCAAAAATAACTCATGGTTTACCATATAGTTCACTGGGCTGGGCCCCAGCAGTCAACAGCACTTCAAGTCATGACGACCCTACAGCTTAGCACTGCTCAGTATGGGTGTGTACTCTAAATATCTCTCCCTCCACAAAGGACCCGTATGTAACTAGTCCCCCACTTATAGTTGGAACTAGGTATACTTGTCACGAGTCCTGCGATCGCCCAAAAATGTATAACCAAATGAGGCACAGGGCAGCCTGGCCAGCTCCACCTCATGGCTGGCAGGGCCACACTAATCATATGCAACAGGCTGAGAGAGGAGACAACAGAGGGCTTCTGGGTGAACTGTTTGGGACCCCATTTGGTGATGTTTGCCAGACATTGAAAGCTGATGAAGAAACAAGAATCACTGGACATCAGAAAGAAAAGGCAGAACTCAGCTGTGGGAATAAAGAGGACCTTGAAATGTATTCTATGTAGTAGCTCACCATGACTTGAAGAAAGAGTCACCACCGAGAGGGATAAAGTGTAATAGACACTACCATGCATCTTATTCACGTATCCTGTACTAATCTATCCTTGTGGTAGGTTTGTATTAGTGCGTTTGCCCAATATGGGCCATGTGTTTTATACTAATGCTCAGTGTCAGCTGCATTTAATCAGCATCATAGTTGGTTTCCATTACTGAATACATGCTGCTTTTAGCAGCAATTCAAAGATAGACCATGTAGTTAATAAGGTTTCCTTGGATGTGAATGCAAGACAAGGAGCTTTACACCTCATCTTACATTCAAGTAAATATGGTATTTAGAAGCAGGAATAACTTAGGGGTTTTTAGCATTTAATGTTAAAGACACTTTTAGTGTAAATTCTGGTAGATGACACAGCAGGTTTTTTGCTCAAAGCAAGTCTTCTATATGAAGACCATACTATATTAAAATTTTACCAGCTTCTGTAAACAAACATTTCTACTGATGAATTCCACAGAGAAAATGATTGCAAGTACAAAAAGATGCTTTTCTAATTTTGCTTACGTGAGCTCTTGTAGAGCTTGCTTTGATTGCTGAAGGTCAGGCAAATAATGAGAAATCAATCCTTCAGTTAGCTGCTCCACAGCTCTCTCATCTACAAGACACAGATCTTCAGCTAGTCCTTCATCTGGAGATGCATCATTAGAGCCTGCACCAAGAAACAGCATCATTAAAACTGCATTAAGAAGCACCAGGAATTGATGCCACCATTTAAATATTTCTTAGGTCAATAAGATTTTGCACATTAAAGCTTAATTTGGGGTGTCTGCAATGAAACACAGGTTTCAAGTTCTTAATACTTTATGCTGGTCCCCCTCCTCATAGTAGAAGTTCATGCCAAGCTACAGTATGGGGAAAAAAGCAGACAAGGGAAGAGAGCTAATCAACTATTAAAAAAAAAAAATCTTACACAACAATCTGAAGTGACCGTTCAATGTACCAAGACAACGAAGACAATAAACTAGTTATACCAGCTCTATGACTTGACCAGCTTAAACTTCTGAGAGCCAAAGAGCCAACAGTGTAAATCATAGAGGACTGTCTTTCAACCCCTTGTACTTAGACCCTCCCTCGACACTTATGCCTGTACGTGGAGCTCTTGTTGAGGGCTTGTGCTGAGGGACCCCCATGTACTTTCTGCAGTACCCTGGTTTAAAAAAAACAAACAAACAGATTCAAATTCTTATTTGTAAGCACAGCTTACAAATAAGTGGAGCTCCATGGAGATCTCTGAGGGCGCCTGCCTGCAGCGCCTGCACCGCCTCCTCCAGCTCAGGCCCTGGCTGCACTTTCTTGTTCAGGCCCTCCCCACCCCTGGCCCCACCAAATCCCGGAGCCGGGCTTCTGATGCACCTGGCCCTGAAGGAGGCTGCGGGTGGAAACCCTCCAGGGCTTGCGGGCCTGTCCCCACTCCGCCCACGTCTGGGGCAGTTTCACTGGGCAGCGTCCACTGGCTCCTGGCACTTGCCGGAGGGCCGGCGGTGAGCTCGCTCGTTTCGAGCCTCTGCCCCTCGCTCCCGTCTGTGTCCCCCGCACAAGCCACAGGCTGCGCCGGGAACGCGGAGCAGTGCGACCCGCTCCCCCCACACCAGCAGGCGGCCGGGCCGGGCTCGCAGGAGGGGGCTGAGCCCCGCTCGTACCTGGCGTGAGCGACCGCGGGTCGGGGGCCTCCAGCGCGGCACCCGCCTCCTCCCCGGCCGGCTCCGCGCCGCTCATCTCCGCCTCTCGCCGCCCACCCGCGGGGCGGCTCGCGAAGGCCTAGCCCAGCCCAACCCGCGCCCCCGGCGGAATGCTCCTCGCCGGGGGAGGGGCCGGGCCAGAAGGCAGCGCCCCGCCCCGGAAGTAGATGCGAAATGACCCGGATGTGCGAGGCGGGAGGGGCACGTGGGGAGTCTCTTTGTACCTTCCGGTCTCCTTCCCGGTAGGCGAGGAAGGGTCCGTCTTGCAGGGAGAAAACAGGAAGGGGACGAAAAGCGGCGGGTTCACGTCAAAGGTTTCAAAACAGACGCTTCCAAGTAAAGTGTTTTGCTTGATTTCCGCAGAGCCCCCGCCCTGCTGCTCCCTTCACAACTCGTCTGTGCGCGGAGCCGGCGTCAGGGAACTAGCAGAGGGATCGGCAAGCGTGTGGGGGGGAGAAGATTTGTTCAGTTAGAAAGAGAGACCCACAAAGCCGAGGAAAAACTGCCACAGCAGGGAGCCAGACAGATGGTTTCCTAAAGGCATAGAAGTAGTTGCAAAGCCTCCTCAGAAACACTGCCAGTGTATGCGGCTTTTCTAATAGGAATCGATCCAGCCTTAAACCCTCCTGTCCAAAAGCGTTTGAGAAAGTCAGGAGCTGAGTTGTGCGCTGCGCCCTACCCGGTTACTCCCCAACTGTCACAAGTTGATGTTAGACGGTGCTTGTTACCGTAACCTTAAAGGCTGCTCCAATCAGCATTGTGCCTGCTGGTTCCCAGGATCAGCAGGGATTGCTGTTCAGAGCATGGTGCTTCCCTAAGAGTGAATCCCATTCTGGGTCACTTAGTCAGGTGTTTTCATTCTGGAAGACTCATCTAAAAACTTAGTATAGAATAATGATGGCAGTTCAGCCTCTTCTGAGTTCTAGGTTCAAATGGCTGCAAAAAAATTACCATGAACTGTTTGGTTTGCTTACACAGAACAGGTGACATACCCAGTTTACAAGAGAGACTTCACATGTGTTTGTATCTGTTAAATCATGTTACAACAAAGTTCATTAAAGCCTGATCTGATCTATTAGAACAAAGTGACTATTGATAAACAAGTACATATATTTAATTTTGCTCTGGAAAACATCCTGTCCTTTCAGAAACTGATTTAATTGCTATAGTAATTTAAATATAGTATTCATAATCATCACGGGGGCATCCAGACAAGCCTGCACATGCCTCCTGCCATGTCTCA